CTTTCCCACCCTCCACCCTGGGCCCCGGCTTGACCATCCAATAATGGGGCATGCCTCCATCTCACGGACCCTGAGAGATCAAAGGTCACAAAGATAAAGGGACCTGGGGTGGCCCCAATGGATCACCAGGAGCAACACTGCAAACAAAGCCACCACTCCCTGACTCCCTGACTCCCAGACATTCCTAACATCCCTGATGGCATCCCACTGGGACAGCGGAGGAATCGGTGACTCAACAACATCTTCAAAAGCATGTTTCCACTTAGGGTTTTTGTTTCCTTCTTTTCACATCAGGGTGTAAACTAAGCCCCTCTGGTCCAGGGGAAGAAGCAGGCAGGATGTAGCCTGGCCCCTGCTGGTGAAGGTGCAGTGGGAACATCACACCTTAAACCCACACTCACAAGGGGGAGGGAGAGCAGGGGAGGGACTCAGGCAGAGAAGGAGGAGGCGACAGTGAGAGTGTAAAGGGGAAAGTGAGGGCCAGTTCTCCTCCCATCCCCTCGGCTGGCAGCACACACCCAGCTGTGCCTGTGAACCCTAGCATGGCCCGGCCAGGGCTCAGGTGGTTGTAGTGTAGCCTGTGCACCAAAGGCTGCGGGTTTCATCCCCGTCAGAGCACAGACCTAGGTCGTGAGTTCGAACGCTGGTCAGGGTGCATACGGTGCATACAAGAGGCAGCCAATCGATGTTTCTCTCTCACATCAATGTCTCTCTCTCTCCCCCTTCTCTCTCTCAAATCATCACGTGAGGCTTAAAAAGAAACTAAAAACAGTTAGCAGCCCCTAGCCGGTTCGGCTCAGTGTATAGAGCATCAGCCTGCGGTCAAGGGTCCCAGGTTCGATTATGATTAAGGGCACATGCCAGGGTTGCGGGCTCCATCCCCAGTAGGGGGCGTGCAGGAGGCAGCCAATCAATGATTCCCTTTCATCATTGATGTTTCTATCTCTTTCTTCCCTCCCTCCCTCTCTGAAATCAATAAAAATATATTTAAAAACAAAAACTAAAAACACTTAGCATTTGTCTGCCTGGGCAAAAAACAAAAGCAGGTTTCGCTTAGAGGAGCAGGACCATTTGGCGTGAGGTGGTAAGAGCGTCAACATGCCACATGGGCTTGAAGAGGTGGAGAATTACGGAAGTCCGCAGGCCTCATCCCCGGCCTCATCCCCATGTCGGGCGCTCAGGAAAGGACCCCTCACCCGGGCAGGAGGCTCACAGGCATCACCTCAGCCTCTGCTCCTCGCAATCCCCTCCCTCCCAGGTGCCCCAAGTCCTTCCTGGAGCCCCTCGCGGCCTAGAGTTTAAGTGAAAGCACCAGCTCCCCTGCCACCTCTAGAAGGTTCCTCAGGCCGGGGAGTACGAATAGAGATCCCTCCATTAGCTCAAAGGTTGAGCTGAAGAAGCAGCCAAGTCAAGCCCACCTGAGTGGGTTCCCCTGACTAATACTAACTACCACAGGGCACGATTCCTAGCAGAGCGACACTGCCCTGCGCTCCAAGGTGTGTTATTTCTTTTTTTTTTTAAATATCCTTTATTGATTTCTTACAGAGAGGGAGAGAGAGATAGTTAGAAACATCGACGAGAGAGGAACATCGGTCAGCTGCCTCCTGCACATCTCCCACTGGGGATGTGCCCGCAACCCTGGTACAGGCCCCCGACTGGAATCGAACCTGGGACCTTTCAGTCCCCAGGCCAACGCTCTATCCACTGAGCCAAACTGGTTTCGGCTAAGGTGTGTTATTTCATTTCGTCTTCAAGCAACCCTATGAGGGGGGTATTATTAAGATTCCTATCCTATCTAATAAAGAGGGGATATGCTAATTGACCCTCACGCTGTCCCAAAGATGGCGGCACCCACAGCCAATAAGGAGGGAATATGCTAATTGACTGTCACGGCCTCAAAGATGGCA